CCGTTGTGTGCGCGATGCCCAGTGTCCTTTCAGCTACGTCTCCTCCATTGCGGATTTCTATTGATCTTCTTACTCCAACTTGTCCGGTGTTCGATATTGAGGTTCGTTTTCGCGGTCTACCACGTTTTCGAATATTGACTGTTGTTGTCACTTCCGTTGTCGTTGTACGTGCGTCCTCACCAGTCCGTATTTTTACTTGGCTTCGCGTAACCCTTCCCGACGCAGACAGATCCTTTGTCAATTTCGGTGGTTTACGTGTCGGTCTTTCACCATCTTTCATGCTGTTCTCAGCTGGACCCTGCCCTACACACGCGGAGGAGGACGGGCATGCAGTGACATCTTCACAGGAAGAGGAAGATCCACCGATGGACTGGACAGCACATTTTGGAGGACGACCACGGCGCTACAATTGTTTGGTGTTACTCCTCGTCGAGGTGTTAACAATGTAACTTAATTTGCTCACTATGTTTTTGTCGCTATTATTATTTCGTTCGAGTTTTGTGTCGTGCTGAACTTGATACTTTTTCCTCCTTGTCACGAGTGTTGTTATCTCATATCTTTACGCTATATAAGTTTTAGTCTTTCCAACTTGAGCCATTCCCTGTATTATCCTTGATGAGAAGGGACCGAAAACGTTCGGATACTTTGACAAGTGCCTTATTTTCACTGGATGTGTGTTTGCGTGGATACTTACGACCCAACACGTACCTTCGTTATTATTATTATTATTATTATTATTACTCAATCTGCGGACAGCATGCTGTTTCGTTCTTTTTGAACTCATCAGCGCAGCACAGAGGAAATGAGGCCGAACCTGATAGCAATGGAAATAAAAATTTCCAATCAGGCCCGAACGTACCTTGCCAGAGTGCTCAAACTGACAAGTCAGTGAGCTCTGCATAACGCAAACAGCAAAGGCACTACCCCACGCAAGAGTGCTCAACTGCTACAAGAGCAGGAGCGAAATACTCAATCTGCGGACAGCATGCTGTTTCGTTCTTTTTGAACTCATCAGCGCAGCACAGAGGAAATGAGGCCGAACCTGATAGCAATGGAAATAGAAATTTCCAATCAGGCCCGAACGTACCTTGCCAGAGTGCTCAAACTGACAAGTCAGTGAGCTCTGCATAACGCAAACAGCAAAGGCACTACCCCACGCAAGAGTGCTCAACTGCTACAAGAGCAGGAGTGAAATACTCAATCTGCGGACAGCATGCTGTTTCGTTCTTTTTGAACTCATCAGCGCAGCACAGAGGAAATGAGGCCGAACCTGATAGCAATGGAAATAAAAATTTCCAATCAGGCCCGAACGTACCTTGCCAGAGTGCTCAAACTGACAAGTCAGTGAGCTCTGCATAACGCAAACAGCAAAGGCACTACCCCACGCAAGAGTGCTCAACTGCTACAAGAGCAGGAGCGAAATACTCTTATTATTATTATAATTTTATAGGGCTAAATAGTTCCGCAGTATCTTTGTTTTGTGGCAAATACAAAAACTTACTTTTCTGCTGTTAGACTGCTGTTTAATTTTTGCGCCACCCTTTTCACACGTGCTACAAGTTCCTATCCCAGCTATGAGCGCGCGTCGTTATCACCTGACCATGTTATCACCTGCCCTTGTTATCACTTTTGTCACTTTTGTCACTTAGAGTATGCCACGTGTCTATGCAGAATGAGCGCAATTGCGCCAATTTAGACCTATACAGATCAGTATATTCTTTTTATTCTTCCATTCAACATCATATGCCTCCACTCACGAGCTCAGGAGGAGCGAAAAAGCTGTCTGGAGAGTCACTGTCAATATCAATCTATTTACCGGAATTGTCGTCGCTGTGGTGATGGTGATGTGAGTGTAGCGATTGGATCGGCCAAGAGCGCAATGTGGTGGTGTGGTGTATTGGATTCCATAATCATGCTAGCACAATTATAGTATTGTATTCCGCTTCTGTGATATTCATTGTGAATTCCATTGCCGATGTGAAAAAAATTAGTTAGCTGATGGCCTCTGACCCTAGATCATGGAAGGTCAGCTGGAGCGATGGTCCTCACTTTCTGCCGCTGAATGCCCCGCTTCAACTCAATGCTCCTTCTCTGAAAGTCACTTCTCATACGCGGCGCTTGCGTTGACCTTGGCGGCTGTGCCCAGCCTTAGCGTCTTCTTCAAAATAACCCATCAGCGCGATCCATGGCGGTGCGTCCCTCTACATACTGAGAATATGGCCAGGTAACCACTTCAAAAGAAGTACAATCTCCTTATGTCGACTATGTCAGACCGTGGCTCAATGTTGCACCTCTCATAACGCAGGGCGTTTGAATTCTTGGGCAGATAGATATGGAAAGAGCAGTCGTAGCTGTGTCTCGCGAAATGTGTGAAACTCTGTCTTGGTCTGGTTTACTGTGAAATATCGATCCCCGAGTTCCGCGCTGAGGATGGGCAAGCTTTGCTTCAGCCATTCCTCACTGGTGGAATAAAATTCACATCGGTGGCATATCCGGTGTCTCCTGTTTTTTCTTTAAGCCTAGTTCACATTCGACGGGACTCGACGTAAGGATTGAAGGGACGCGATGGGACGATCTGACGGCGTCCGATGTAAGCACCAGGAACAGAAACGCATCCGTACTACTGTATAGATAATCTACCATATAGATCTGTTTTCCAGTAGGGCTGTGTTCAAGGTAACAAACACATGTTGTCAGCTGACAAGCTGAGGGGGAGACGCCATGGGCAGAAGTTGAAAAAAGGAAGGAAAGAGTATTAAATACTTCGAAGTAAAAGTAAGGAGATAAATTCTTAACGAACGCGATGACACAATAAGAAGAAAACCTGAAGTCCCCCGGTATAATGAGGGTCAGAACCGGGTCTGGCACCCATGCGGTTCAAATGGTCGCAAGACCTAGGCTCTACAAACCATGTTTTGTTCTAGTAGGGGACACTGCTATCGAACACGGTGTTCCACCGCCTTGTAATAATTATACTGTCAAACTAAAAACCTGTTTCTACAATACAAGGTTTATCTACACAATTAGATAAGTAAAATTGCACCGATACAGTACATGAATGAAAATTATTCACTAGTTTTCATGTAAACGTATGGAATATTTTGTTTTCCCTCCTCCACAGTGCTTTTCCTGTTGATTGGATGCTCCGCGTCATCTGCCGAGGAAGTCCATACGGCATGTAAAGTAACGAACCTACGAAATTTGCACCTGACCAAGCCGAGGTCTGGACAACTCAGATTTACCGTCAAGACGACGAATGAGCAAAGTATCAACGTAAGTTTGGTCAATGAACGGAATTGGTTTAATCTCACGTTTGAAGCACAGTGTAGGGCCTTCCTGACATCTGTCATTCTCAACACCGTCGGAGGCTGCACTGTGAAAGTGGAGAGAAAGTATCACGGTCCTGGGGGTGCCAATAGTTCGACGACCTTGTTCCAGAAATCTTCGTTGCGATGTGGAACACAGGTGTTTCAGGACTCAAACTATGAAACAATGAGTCCTGTTCAATTGTATGGAGGTCATCGTCCAGTTCAGATCAGAATCTTGGTGACTAGAAATACAAAATGCGCAAGAGGGTGTCGAGTCAAGGGAACGCGTCTAAAAACGGGTTACTTGCCCATAATGGTCCTCGAGGCTCACGGTAAGACATCTTATTATGTCATGTACATGTATACTACGGATAATTGCGGCCTTCTAGATTCGGCCCAACAATACTAAATTGGGTTAAAACCAGAGAGGTTCCAGGCTGTCCAAGAGAGCACTAAATACCAAGAGGCAGAGCTACACACTACTATTTTCTGGTGATCGCTTAGGGCTTGAAACTCGAAGTAAAAACAATTTTTTCGTCCTCTTTCATTGTTTTATATAGGGTTTAGGATGTTCTTTGTGAGTATAGCAGGTTCATGTGCGTCAGTAATGTTTTTTTCTTTTCTTTTCGAGTGGCAAGAGTGAGGTAAAAAAGGTCATGTGCATTCCATCAAGCCATCACCATTTCGATTATGTTATTATGTCACTATGGACCTACTTTAGTTTGGAAATGACATGAGTTTACAATCAAATCGTAAAAACTCCAAGTCAATCTCCAATTGTCACAAGCCTCGTTTATTCAACATAATCATATTCTATCCAATAACAACAGTTTATAAAAACAGTATAAAACAGCTTTTTAGGATCGGACCCATCTCCCTTGGCTGCTGTTGGAATATGCAGGAATGGGCCTTCCAGATAAGGTCTAACAAGGAGAAGTGGCTTTATTTCAAAGAAGTAGTTATGAAAAGAACATCGGTAACCATGGAGACAGCCCACACTCTCATATAGATACTGGTTATAAATAGACCGAAAAAGGAAAATGATCTGATAGCCTATGAAGAGTAAAAGAAATTGAACCAATGACAACAAATACTCGTCCAGTACACGAGTAGTCACAGAAACACAAATAACAGCTGTCCTACTAATTTTGTTGTTGGAGATTGAGTAGGAGTTTTTACTGGTTGATTCCAAATACAATAAATGAGGATGCCGAGGGTTTATGACCAATAAAAACTATTTTAAAAAGCTCGGTCCCACGAGGTTTTTAGAATAGTTTTCATTGGTCTTAAACCCTCGGCTTCCTCATTTATTGTATACATAATATTATTATACTCCTACAGAAGAACGGGAAATTGCTGTTTCGTGAATCTGAGTTTCACTAACTGAATCGATCATAAGACGAAGATCAACAGTTACGAAATAGCCACTGGTCGTTCTTCTGTCTGTGTTATTCGCTCAGCAAATTGAGCCCTCTACGGATGGTGAATAAACTTCACATGGCAATAATTATACTCCAGTGGAAGGATGAGACATTACTGTACACAATTTCTAGTGGGGATTAGAAACAGCTCCATAATAAGCCCTAGAGTGTGCTGAAGCAGCCGTGTCATTGCAATGCACTCATTAATGAGTGGAGCTGTGCCTACCTAATTTCCGAATTTCCTCAATTTCCAATATGTTTTGTTGTGTAAATGAATGCACCAGCTGCGGTGGTCGCTGAAGATACCAATTGTATGACTGAATGGTTACTGATCGCCAACTCCAGTCGTCCAAGAGCCTTATCCATTCTCAGCACATCAGCTGCCATTCAAGCAATGTTAGATGAGGCAGTTGTCAAGCAACTGCGGCCATTCACGTTAAGTATTGTCTTGGGTTTCGCACCGCGGCTTGCAGCTGACCTTAAACACTGCATCAGTAAGTAGGCCCCCAGGTCCACATACACGGGCAAACCCAGAGACATAGACAGCAATAGCGACAACACACAAAGTGAGGGGTAGTTGGCTGCAGCCAGATGAAACTGGACAGGGACACTGGTGAGACTCAAAACTGACTGAAGAAGTCAGGAAAAGAAGCAACAATAAAGAACACACCAGATGCCATCTTTGCAACAGAAACTGAAAATGTTTCGCGAGAAATACAAATTTCCTGCGAGTGAAGTAACCCTAAACCTGGTATGATCTATCTGTTGGATCAATGACAACCTATTGTTGATGGCAGTTTTCCATAATAACGTATACTGACACTTCTGCATGGACATTGCACCATAGACAGTAACCAACTGCGTCGTACCACTGTTAGCATACCAAGCGGCCCCACTTGCTGTCCTGGCTGCCGTGCTGAAGAACAATTACTAGCCCTTGGCGGAATATGCTGGCATGATTTCTGGGAACATTTTCCGATTTTTCCTAAACCAAATATGCCTTGGCATAAAAGGACTTCTGAAACCAGATGGTCGGGGGCTGAAGATTAATTAATGCTCTAGTCATATTTCGGCATGCTAAAGGAAATAACCTGGTGAATATTACCCCTTATAATAAATGCTTTAACGGTGCCAGAGTGTTTTTGAACGGTGGAAATCCAACACGAGTGCAAGGGTACAGTATAGCACCATCTTGGCATTATTCCAGCATAATGTAGAATACTCACTTGCATGATTTGGGAATAATGGAACAAAAAGTTCAGCGATATAAGGAGCATAGTCCTCCAAGGGCTGTTTTTACTGAGTTCACCATACCATTACATTTGACCACAGCATGTTACAGCACAATCATCGGCATAATTCCAGCATGATGTAGCATAGTAACTGGCTTGATTCTGGCATAATGGAAAGAATTATTCAGCAATATACTGAGCTTAATTCGCCTTGGGTTAGCAATTACTACCCCTTCCTTGCCAGTACTGAGACGTACTGCCATGCTTGGTGGCTGACATAGCTCTCTATAGTGCCCGTAGTTTGGACATAGTTTTTGTTGGTGTTTGTATATTTAGAGTCAAAGAACAAAAAGCAAATTTGCTTAATAACATGATATCAACCAAAGGAAGTATGAATATAAAGTATTAAAGGCCACTGAAGGAAATGATACTGAATATAGAAAAGGACCAAAGAACTAAAAAATGAATAACGCTATAATGTCCACTAACACCACCTGGTCCTTGGCCATAACCTCGTGCGAAAACATTACGCAAAACTGCCGGTCAGAACTGACGTTCTACAACTAACTGGCCGTCAGCTCTAGCACATAGCAAGTAACTGGTGGTGCTAGTTGACATTATAGCGTAACTTGTAGTTCTTGGTGCTTTTCGTTACTGTTAATTGGGCATCGGCTTTCCATCCGTGTCTACACTGAATAAAGTGGGGAATAAAGTATTAAAAACGTCAGTAAATGGAATATTGATAAAGCGGGCAGTGGCAACATATACTGGGAGGGATCGCATGAGTCGATGATACTGTGGAATCTTATTGATGTTGGGCTGAAGCCTGTTCTACAGTGATACAAATTGGAATGAGGTAGAGTGTGTACCAGCGGATGTCTTAGTGAATGGACATTTCAAGTAGGCGAATTTCCTGACTGCGTGTAGCACGGCCGGCATTGAGAGGACTAAACACATAAGTAAACAATGTACTGCATTTATTTTGAAAGCCTGGGCAAGTGTAACCAATGAGTTTGTGACAGTGCGTAACATCTAGTGCGTGCAAGCGCAATTGGCAATACAACGGACAGATGGGGATGCAAATCGAGCAATCACAAAGCAGCGGGCTGCACGCTTGAGTAAACGCTCAAGGCGCTCGAGCTGATGTGAGGTGAGACCTGCAGAGAAACAGTTGCCAGCATGAGGGAAGTCATGAAGGATGGGTTAGGGGCCTGTCTGTAGGTCATTATACACATTCATGTGCCTTGCAGTAGTTTTTGCGGATCTAGCCTCGCAGAACATGGCGCTTATGATATTAGGCTTCCCATAACATACAGATTGACATGCTAGCCGGCTATGCCGTGCACGCCACCGACCATGTATCAACGAGGAGGTATGAGTAAACTGGTGGTAAGGTTGGTTTGGGAAGCGGATCGTGCGAGAACATCCCAGACAATAAATTACTCAATCTGCGGACAGAACTGTTTCGTCCTTTGTGGACTCATCAGCGCAGCACAGAGGAAATGAGGCCGAACCTGGTAGCAATGAAAAATACATTTTCCAAAGCCAGATTTAAACCAGGCCCGAAAGTACCTTGCCAGAGTTCTCAAACTGACAAGTCAGTGAGCAGACAATAAATTATAAACTTTTCCAACCTCTAGTTTAAAGTGGCACAATTGGCGAACTAAAGCATAATCAATGGATATGTATACAAAAGAAGATGTCTGGGCAAACGCAAACAAAATAAAGCAAGGTATTTTTCCCTGGAACTTAACACGTTCATCAATCTGGGGCCCCTGTACGGCGACCATTTTGTATGTTGGAATGCCCGAACAAACTAATAAAACACAATTACAATACAAATAGAAACATGATTAAGCAACAAAGGCTTTCAGACCAGACTCACTCTCTTCCCATTCACTCTGCAAAGTGGAACAAGTTTCTCAATCAATTTTTACTACGTTAATGCAAGGTGGGACAATGGGAAACCGGGACACGGATGTCGCCTATCCATAATGCATTCATGCATTTGGATTCGTTGCATGGCAATGTTCCCAACGTTGCATATGGTCTGTGCTCACTCAAATCACATTGCAGGTCGAACGCCATCATGCCCCACAACAGACTTAACAAGTCATCTACCTTGCTCCGTTGCTGGAGAATGTGTGTTCAACGCAACACAACAGTCCTCGGTATGTCTTTGTCAACCAGGTATGACGGGAAGGAAGTGTGACGTAGGTGAGTGAACTCCTATTTCTTTCGTGATACTAATTACAATTTGCACGAGTCCTTGTACTGGCAACCTGCCATCAAAGATTTGAAACAACCACCCATGGAAACACATGTGATGTGTCGCCCAAACGGTTGGCGTTCATCGCTTACCCATACTCCATTTTAAATCCTAGAACAGCCAACGGGGTCACTTGACACCGCGCGAGTCAAACTGTTGGAATGACCGAACTATGGCTAACCAGAATAAGCTCAGATCTCGTGACTATACCTAGTTTTGCCTCCTGTTTCGTTTGCCATAACCCTTAAATAACAGCCAAACGCTTCTCTTCCTTGCAATTGCTCTCACTACAGATATTGATGAATGTAATATACCCGGCTTGAACAATTGTGACAAACCAGGAGTAGCAAAATGCCATAACAGTTACGGATCCTTTGCTTGCGAATGTAACACAGGATTTGGTGGACATAGCGGAGTGTGTGAAGGTAAGTCAAGAGATACATTTTCTAATTGATATGGGATTTTGTACCAGAGATTTTGTTGCTTATAAACCACATCCTGTCCTCTTTGGGTCATTATTATTGGGTCCACTGTCCACGCGACATGAGCGGTATGCATGATCACTTTGCACTTTGTGCAGAAATCAAGTCGCATAACAAATATGTGAAACACTCTATACCACTTTTAAAACAGACAGGTTCCAAACTGTCCAAGACAGTGCTCAATACCGAGTAGTAGAGCTGGTTCAAACCATAGGAGTACAGAGAAAGTGTTTTTACTCCGAGTTTCATGATTTTATATCCATTTTTACCATAATTAAATTCGCTCGCCATCCCAGTTCAACTCAACACTCTATACAGCAAATGAAATCCTGTGGTCTTCTCTTGATGTTAACTTCGAACGCATTGTTAGCTTATGTAGCCAATTACCTTTTTAAGGGCTTCTAAGGAAACCCTTGAATATTGTACAAACGATATTCCAGGATGTGTGGTGACTTCGCCCCCTACTCCTTCCCTGCCGCCAACAATGCCAAAAGAATATGATAGCGTTCTTTGCCGCTAAAGACCTGGAAAGAAAGCATCCATTGAAAAAATATGTTTCAGTGGCTATACGAGCTTATATCTTAGGCATATCTTGAAATTTTCATCTACCAATTTTTAATAGTTGAAATGTATCGTCATTAAAAAATCCGCTTTTTGAATAGAAGTCATGCGGAACCTTAAAGATTTTGTACCCCAGTTCTTTTCAATCTTCTACAATGTCAGAAATAGATTTAAAAATTCTACATACTGGTACTTTACGATGCTTTTCATTCAGATATAAACGAATGTGCCAATAGCACGTACACCTGTCATGGACTGGATAATCCTGGAAACAGAAAATGTGTGAATACTGAGGGGTCGTATTACTGCCGATGTCTGGATGGATTTACAGGTTCTACATGCATAGGTAAGCTGCATGATCTTCAGATTTCTTCCGCCAATTTTCCCGATTCGTCGTTTGCGTCGTCGAGTTGTAGTAAGCCCTGTATTTCAAATTGTCTTACTAACTCAGTTACTAACTCAGTTTTGTAATCATCGTGCAACTTGCAGCATTCTTTGTAGCTATTCTTCTTAAGTTGACGGGATAGAAAATTCTTCGTTGCTTTGGGCCTTTGCTTGGACTCTTCTTCGTTGAGCTGTCCTTCCAGTCTTGGACCTTTCGTAACCTCAGCCTTCCAAGTTGAAAGGCTATCGATTTGAGTCTGCCAGAAGACAAGTGTTAGAGTTAGGAGTCAGGTTGTTGAATGTCTCAGTACTGTTTGACAGCGTCATCCCTTCTTGTCGCACGAGCTATAATGATCTGGTGGCGTTAGTGGACAGTTATTCATAACTCGTGCGATTTTTCCTTCTCTTTTTATCTTTAATTAGTATTTTTTTAAACAGAAATGGTACGGTGAAGAAAAGGAAGGGCAGGACGATTGAGGCCATTTTGTTTTGGTCTCCTGCAACCATTCAAACTGGAACCAATCGCTTATTGATATTTAGTTTATGGATGAAATTCACGCCTCTTCAGTTGCACTTGATTGAACTTTGTGCTCCGGGAACGCTGCCAGTTGTTGCATTTCACCATCCGAATATTACCGCCGCTCCATTTCCGGTGCGGTTGGTTGATTGCTTTTTATTTTGCTTCGCACATTCAAACGGGATGACGACCCAGTAAAATGATTGCAAATGCTTAGCCTTGAAGTGGCTATGGAAGAACTTAGAAAAGTCAATGTAAGCACATAGCAAGAGATTAGGAAACTCATAATCTCGAGTAAACGGGGGAGGGGGTGGCGGAAGAATACGATGTATCTGTGATAGTATGTGAGTATTACTGAACTGCTCGGGGAGGGAGAGCAGAGCGATCAGCAGTATCTCGAACTACTCCCTACAGGCGTATGGTACACATGCATGGTAGCAGGGTAATTGTGCGGACCTCACCAGGGAGAGCAATCCACAGCAGAGCACTAGCAACAGAAAATCTCCGCTGACCGGCGGTGCTACGGTTTGCCTGGCTTAGTAGGCCATTTGACTGCTGATGGGAGGTAGGGGTGCCTTGTGCGGGGTCAGAAGCTGGGAGAGCGCAGGGCTCGTGCGGGCGTGGACTCATCGCCAGATGGTCCTTAATACTTCTGCCGCTATAGCGGACTGACATGGTGCAGGGAGTGAGCGACTGCATGGCTGTCCGAGGCGTTTTTCCATCGATACAGCGAATGGCACTGTTTCGTGCGGTTTGTTGTCCTTTCAGTTGATCCTCTTGCATTGCGGTTGATAATAGCCATAAAGCAGGTCGGTCATTATGACCACCTTCGCAGACACCTGACGAGAGCGTCTTCATAGGCATCAGCAAGCGCGCCACAGGGCACCAATTGTCTTGGCAACCTTGGTGACCAAAGTCATAGTTAACATGGGTGTCCCAATTTACGTGATTGGCAAGGTGAACGCCGAGGTAGCGCGCAGAAGATGCTGAAAGGGAGGAGACAATCGCCGCTTTTGACTGTTATCTCCGGTACATTATTTTGGGGATTGATAGTCAGAACCTTCGTCTTGTCGGCGTTCAAGATGAGGCCTCGAGACTTCGGCCAATCGGCCAGAGCAGTTTCCGCTGTGGTGAGGGTTCTGGACGCTTCCGCCGCTGAGATCTGGGGGTCGTACATGGCAATTCCAGAAATTACAACAGCCAGGTCTCGGATCAAATTGTTGTGGTGCCGTTTATCACTAAAGCCTTCGAATTGTCTAGTTGGCACAGCCTTGTGATCTTGCCACTGTCTCTCGCAGATTATCCATCAGCACACAGAGGGCATTTTCCGTAGAACATTTCTTGCGGAAGGTAAATTGTGGCTTGGGTAGTGCCTTGCTCAAGTCCAAATGGCGAAGTAGCTGGTGTTGTACTATTCTCTCCAGCAACTTGGTACTATTGGGATAAGGGAACCAGGTCTATAGTTGGTGAGGAGTTGGGGCCTTGTTCAGTGGCACGACAGACGCCAATTTAAATCCAGATGGAATGGTTCCAGTCCTCAGCGAGGTGCAGAAGAGCACAGCAAGAGAATATGCCAAAATGTCAGCACACTGCTGTAGCAGAAAGCCCGGAATTCCGTCACAACCTGTTGCTTTACGCGCATCCAAATTCTCAAGGAGACGTTGGACGTCAGCAGGAGTCACGGGATCAATTTCGGTCAAGGAGACAGGTCGGCGGGACCTTGCGGGATGCAGAGCTTTTCAGAATAGTTGGGATCGGTGACAATGGAGTGGAACGTGTGGCCAACCGCACTGATGCTACAACTAGGATCTTCGCGGCCACATGAATGCCCAGTGCAGCGAACACCTCTTCAACTCCAAGCAACAACGTGCATCCTTTCACGTCCTTTCTTTTATTGGTTGTTCCAGCCCTGCTGCTCCCTCGCCTCCACCGTTAGGCACTGCATATTCACATGGATTATTCTGAATTTGGTGGCGGCCTTGGCTGCCATTACCGGCGTCGTTGCCACTTTATGATCTACTGCACCCGGCATATCTTATTTCGTGAAGAAATCCTGCGCTATACAAGGATGACACGTAGAACTGCAATGATAACACAGGGCAACATTGAAGGAAGGCAGAATATACTGGAGTGTGTCCGAATCGCTGCTTCCAAGAAAGTATTACTCTAAATCAACTGATGTTCGCTGGCGATTTAATTCCGCTGATTTTGCCGCTTGGTACCAACCGGCCAAAGTAAATGTCAGTCCAAAGTATGTCATAGAAGCAAATGATGCATAACTGAGCCATGGCTACATTTGAGAGCAACAGCTTCCGATCGATGTCTTTTTGCAAACTCCAATCTGCCAAAGTTAAATATCGGCCAGAAGTTTCATTTCGAGATCGGCCAAAGTTACTCACCGACCTAAATTTCTTGATTTAAAGTAACCAGATGGGCAGAAAGCATGCCTGCCCTACACATTCAGCAGTGTGTATGATGTGAGCGTATGTGTCTCTTTGATTGTCTGTGTTTCTTTTCGTTTGTCTGTCTGCATGGATGCATATCTGTCCGTGTCACATTGAGAAAAGGCCAGGGTCTCCATACGATGACATACTAGTAAAGGTTCAGTGGTATGTTCGTCTGTTTCTGCGTGTTATGCCTGCTCGTGTTGACATTTGTGGTTGGTGGGCCATGCGGACATGTGTACCGAACACATTGCAATGGGTTTTAATCTAATGGGCATCTAGACATTGATGAATGTCAAAATGGCAAACACAACTGCAACGAAATGGTCAATAGTGACAACAGACAATGCCAGAATTTGAACGGCTCATACCATTGTCCCTGTCTTCCTGGATATGTTGGGTCGCAATGTGACGGTGAGTAATTTCTACAAGTTCCTATTCACAAATGCATGAACTACTTAACTAATAATTTATTGCAACATTCCAAGACTCAGTAAAAACATAGGCCGATGCGAAGAGAATTCTATTCAAATTTACTAGGACAGGCCCCGCAGACTCAAGGTTTTCTCACGGGGTGCCCTGATCTTTTATTAAAGTAATGCATGGCAACATTTCGATGTATTGGGCTGTGATTAGCAGATGTTGCAATAGGCCGTGTATATACATCGTTTCAGACCGTGGGGTAATTCGGGAGAAGTTGTGAACTCGATTCCCCCCGATTTGTAGAAGGGTTTCGAATATCGGATTACACCTTCTTCCATTTGTGCATAGTTCACTACCTCCTTTCCCCGTCATTGTTGATATTCTATGTGTGTAACGCTAAAAAGAGGTGTACACACAGGCATACCATGACACAAGAACATCAAAATCATGCCATGGTGTGACTGCATGCACACTTTCTCTACCATTACTAGGATTCTTGTCTCCACGCCGCCTGTTCAAGTCAATGTGCGTACTGTAATTTTCTCCTGTCTTTGCTTTGCGTGTATATCCACGAACCCGTCACACAAACGCAACCAACTTTGCCACAAATGATAAATTAACTAAAGGTGGATTCGTCTCCATTGTGACCTTCGCCATCTCTATCAGTCTTGTGGTAGTCGTCTCTGTGCTCACGGTCTCAATTCTGATAGCTCAGCTGAAGAGAAAATATACGAAAGCAGCCCACATGAGCGTTCAAACTGCTGCTTTACAGAACACGGTGGGAGCACCTGGCAGTAACGCCCTATCCCTGACATGCAATGAAGCCTATGAAACAACGTCGTCGGCAGCTCGACAAGATCCTTCTTTGTATGATACTATACAGTAATCTCGATGCATCATTGCTCCGAAGCAATAGCTGTACATGGATCTACACGTGCACTGATAGCATAGTAACGTTTGGTATACATTGTACAAGTGCATGTGTATTGTAACTATGCTTTTAAAATTTGAATATTTTTTGTTACTTCAAAGTCCTTTTTGAATACTATTCATACTTTGCCACACTCATTGTCACGCTTCTAGTCGTTTCCTTCTTGTGCATCTTTCTCGCACGGTACTGTTGTGACGTTAATTTCAGGTATTCCATTCCATTCTCTATGCTATTCGAGAATTGTTGCATTGAGTTCTTTTAGGGGAATTCGGATTTCACAAAATCTGGCATGTTTTTCCCATAATTTTGTAGATCTCAACATTTTGCAACATGCATACAACACAACATGCATGTATGTCACTCTGATCGCAGTGCCAGTACATTTAGCTAGGCGAACTTGTCTAGCTCTAAAAGACATGGTATTTTTTGTGTGTAACTAGGTTCGAGAGATGAAATCAATACGTTTTTAACAGCCTGCACGACGCCCTCGTTTTTAATTGTTGTTATTCGGTCTGCTCTCCCTTTTATTTTGCAGTGGGCACACAAGATAATGTTAATAATTATACATACACATGATGTATTTGATATATTCGCAGTCTGTGCATTTTGATAAAGGTAGTTCACGCCTCCTTTCGAGCTGTTTTAGCAGGTATTATTCACAAGCGGGTTTTCAGCAACGTGATTCTCCACGATATCTTGTGGTCCTTTGAGTACTATTGCTTCAAGGGCTTTTAATCGCTCTTATATCTTGCTTGCTGTGCTCTTCTCGTTTTGGTTGAATCTAGCCCTACCCCTAAATTCTTCTCGTCCACACAAGCGCTCAACTGTACAAATGTTGAAGTTTGTACTTCACTTCAATTAGCTTTCCATGAGAAAAAAAGATGTTCTGGCGCTCCTCTCGAGTACCATCGCAACAACGAGTTCTGTGTGTGGCACAAACACCTCTTGGCACCTTACAGTTTCCTTTAGGGTGTAGTTCGACTGTGTTAAGCCCGCAGAAACGTTTCAGAGTGAACCTTGTAATAGACATTTCCCTCTAAATGGTCGGCAAATCACATGATTTATGAGACTACAACCTAGCCACGCCACAGCGTACAAGAACAAAGTAACGAACAAAACTCACTCAAGCCAACGTTACCTCACCTTAGAAAAGCCACGTCAGCATCCCAGAAGACAAGGACCATCATCCCTTGACGCCACAAAAGGATCGTCTCGAAAATAGCTTAATTACAAGCGCTAATAAACACAACGAGCTACGTCCTCGATAAGCAAACAACATACAGCAGCAGATAGTAGAACACCTCTCCTAGCACTGAGGACATGTGCCCTCATCCTTTTTGGGTTTCCTTGAAATAATAGTTTTTTTAAATTCTTCCACTCGACCATGCTGAAATGCGTCCAAACCCATACCTGCGCTGGAAAGCTCGCTCCTCCGCGACGTCTAATCCGGATTTTCGATTTCAACACCACTCCCAACGCTGCAGAACAAAGTGTATATATAGTGTTTGCTAATTGAGGACGTACCTCGCTGTTTTATAAGCGCTTGTCATTTGGCTATTCTCAAGACAATTATTCCCGTAGCTATGCAGAAGACGTTACTTCAGTAACGTCTGACGCTAGGCAGGGTCCACACAGCTTTAATTTTGTGTTTGTTTGTTTGTTTGTTTGTGTCACGCCCCGTGCGCTATCCCGTATCTGTCCTGCACCGTATCGCACAGCTGGCCATTTGCTGGCTCCCGTATCTGTCCCGGACCGTACCGTACCATCAAACACAGCTGGCTACAAACAGCTGACCACAATAATATGTACATGTATACGACTCCCTGTGTGTTGCAACTGTGCTTGAAGGGGACGGTTGCACTTTTTGTAGCTCCGTTTTATCTGAGTTTTCAGTCGTTCCTCTTACTAGTCTTGCCAAGGGGGTGGCTCTGGGTCCACCAGAGTTGCCCCTGGCGTATTTCTGAATTTGCTGGGGCGAGGGTTCCGCGACGCGGTCGCCAAGGCAGTGTCTTTTCAGTCACGACCGTTGTCGTCCTCGTCTCTCCATTCGCGGTGGTGTAGCTGACCCCCCGAATGGTTTCAAACTGCGAAGCTCGGAGGAGTACAGTGGTGGCAGAGGCATGAGCTGTGAGTGGAGACGGTTGCTGGAGATGGATGGTGATGCAGGGAGAAGAGTTACGCTGCCTGACGCCGCGTGGGAAATTGTTTGAACCTGCAATTTCAGTTCGAGCGCGGTGGACTTCTAGACGATGTGTTCTCATGGCTGTTTTTCAACGCTTGGCCTATCGCTGATATCCCTGCGTGGGATGTTCTTCCAGTGGAGTCCAGGTGGGACTTCGGGTGCCCACACTCCATCACCTGGTTGATTGTTTCGGAACTGCAAAAATAATTATTGTTTCCTATTTTGTGCGCATCTATTGTCATCCCTCTTTTCTATACGTTGCACACCAGATGTACTACTATCGCCGTCTTCCTCTTGCTTTCTCTCCCTGCTTGCTGTTTTTTGTTTCTGTTGCCACTGTCCTTCATCATACCCATGCTTGGGTGGTGGGCGGCGTGACCCGTTAGGGTAGCTGCCAATACAGTACGACTGCCTGATGTATAGAGAGACTTTCTGGAAAGAAATAGGGAGACGAGGAGGAAATGAAATTAGAATGGATGTTAGTTGCCGAATAGGTGATAGGATGCGTCAGCAAAAACATACTTTGGAGGAGAGATCCCGTCGTCTCCAAAATAGGCGTGAACGGGCAAGTCAGCGCCGGTCACAGGAAACGTCGGCAGACAGATCCCGTCGATTCCAGAACGCGCGTGCTCGGCAGAGTCAGCGCCGTCCCAGGAAACATTTCCATCAGTTCCCACAACATGCACGATGAGATAAGTAACAAAGCAAAGCGTAGGGCCCTGAGCTTCCAAGCTCTCTCATTTGTGGCGTCAAGGGATGATGGCCCTCGTCTTCTGGGATGTTTGCGTGGCTAAGTGATGCGGCCCCAAGAACCCTTCTAAGGTGAGGTAATTTTGGCTTGATGGATATTTGTTCGTAGCTTGTTCTTGTATGGAGTGCCGTGGCTCGTTTTAGAGCTATAAATCGTGCCAAAATTGGGCCAATATTGAGGGATATGCCAATTTCATTGCTCTCTTCAAAAGATTTTGCGCGGGCTTTGGAATAGAGATCTACACCCCAGAGCAAAACCTACCTGCAAATTTTGAGCGAAATCTGAGAGATCGATTTGCACAAATTTTTTAGTTTTATCAGAGATGCTCTCTTAAGATGTACTGTGTAGAACCTCTCACGCAGGATTCACAGCTGAACACAGGAATGGTAAAGACCCTCACACATACGTGTAGGTCCTTTTGAACGTTCAAGCATACATGTGTAGCGCCTCTTCACCTCCACTAGATTACATGATTGTAACATCAACAGTGAGTTGACTCGCACTACACCGACCTGCGCTGCACCTCTTGACCCTAAATGCATGCCTTACCTTAGTACATACCACACACTCCATGCACAGCATACTTGTACACGCTCTTCTCTCACACATTGTTTTGTAATCAATGCATTTCGAGAGTGCGCTTTCTATGTCCCTCCGAACAGCTGTCAACACCTCTATTTGCCGGGCATTTTCCTTTGGCACAGCGCTCATAACAACTATTGATTCCTGCTGTTCAAGCAATGCCGTAGGAAGTGTACACGACTAAAATAGTACGTGCACACGCCTACTCTTCTCTCTATCTCTATAACATTTACTATTCTATTCCACCTAGAACATTGACAAACATGCCTTCCTTCATCTTATAAAAGCCTCCATTTTCTCTTCGTTCAGAATCCCACAATGTAGTCGCAAACTTTCTGGAGTTTGACTTTATTTGTTGGTCACTCGGAGACGTTGCACAGACTGCACAAGCTCTCGTGTCCGCTACACTTTACATGTGCAATATCACGCTCACATTGCACTGGTTTGAAACCCACATTGTGAAGTGCTGCTTCTGTTTGCTTGTTCATGGGTGGGGAAGCAAGCATGTGTAATACTGCAGTCACCAAAAAAATTGAATAGTCTGTGCTAGTCACATCTGGCTGCGGCCAACTACCCTTCACTTTGTGTTTTGTCGCTATTGGTGTCTATGTCTCTGTGTATGCCAGTATTTGTGGAGCGAGAAGAACCGTACTCTTGGTGATACTGATCGCAAACATGATTAGTTCCTGCAGGCCATTTAGTACCCAATTCTAAACCTTATCTAACCAAAGCTCTGGTCAAAGTAGCATTCCCGGTTCAAGAACATCTGGTCAGACATATCGATTTACATGTCTGGTGCGCTCTCACCAACAAACAGGCATAGCAGGCTACATTTGCACCAGCAATCACAAGAAGTTATAGTGAGTGAATATTTCCATAAAATTAACAAGTAGAAGGAAAATACGTAATGGACAAATGAAGGTCAAGAGGCTCGCCCAAAAACACTGGCAAGAAGACAGTAAACGGTACACAGTGCTCGTATCCATGTACTATTTTCAAATATTATAAAACACCTTATACCGGAGGGTGTACCCAGTGTGCTGACAGTGCTCGACACCGCGGGGGAAGAGCGTAATACAGAACAGAACAACAAGGCCAATCAAGGCTTGTTTGCTGCGACTTGAAGTTTCATGCTCTCGCAATCATCACGCAAAATGAAGGTTGGGTGCCGACCATGCCAGTACATATGCCAGGAGAAGATTGGGCTAGCGGTGTTATTTTAGGTAGGAGGCTGTGTGCACAGTGTGTGGTTGTTGAAGGCAGGGGCTAGCAATTTTGTTTTTTGCAATTTTAGCGTAGAATGTGTGGCTGGTGTGGGCAGGAGGTGGTAAGCAATGTGTGTGGATGTTGTAGGCAGGAGGCTATAGTCTAGAGCTAGCGTGAGTGTGATATTAGCACAGTGTACATTAACATGTATACGGCTGATGTGGGCAGGGTATTATGAGCAAGGTGTGTGAACGTGAATGGTGTGGGCAGGAGGCTGTGGAGACATACTTAGGTGATACCGTGGTATTTTAGGAGATACTGGTTCTCATGTCGGCACTTGGACATCATTTTCAAGCGTTTGTTGAGGCTGGATGGTGACCCTAGCGTGTTCAGGATGTGGAACTTTTCTCAGGTACAGAGGGAACACAGCTTTGTGATGTTGGAGTATGCTCGGGCGCGATCTTTTATCCACCATTCAACTTCGTACGGGGTGTTGGATTTCTTCAGTTTCCAGATGTGGTTCAAGAATTCAGCCCTGCTAGAGTACTTTACTACCGAAAACCCAACGACACCCCACTGTATGTCAACGTCCACTCCAATCACCCACCGCAAGTCCTTAAGAACATCCCAGCTGGCATCAACAAAACGACTGGCAGGCATCTCCTGCTCAGAAGCGGTGTTCCATGACGCAACTCCCATCTACGCGGAGGCCCTCAACGCCAGCGGCCACCCTAGCACGCTAGTATTCAAACAGAAAACAAGAAAAAGAAGAAGAGGAAGATCTGCATGTAGGTGTACACTGTGCCTATATCACACTGCTAGCTCTAGACTATAGCCTCCTGCCTTCAACATCCACACACATTGCTCACCACCTCCTGCCCACACCAGCCACACATTCTGCGCTAACATTGCACTGTTAGCCCCTGCCTTCAACAACCACACACTGTGCACACAGCCTCCTGCCTAAGATAACACCGCTAGCCCCAACCTTCTCCTGGAATATGTACTGGCATGTTCGGCACCCAACCTTAATGTTGCCTGATGATTGCGAGAGCATGAAACTTCAAGTCGCAGTAAACAAGCCTTGATTGTCCTTGTTGTTCTGTTCTGTAATACACGTTATAGATGACGGTGTACCATAATGTTACATCAACACATTTAACAGAGTTATACTGGGTGTAGGAATGAATAGAAGATGTGTTCAAAGCAATAAACTGTGCAAGCATTACGTTGAGCCCCAATATTGAAATGCAGTTTCCTGCAGTCAAAACAAGAGACTCAATCATCTCCGATCTACTTCGCCATTCTCATGGCTAACACGACATGATGTACTTTCTTACGATGGTGCTTGAAATGGATCGATGAAGTCTTGAATATATGTCTTCCCTGAACGATTTCAACTGAGAGGAAGTTTCAGTTTCAACAAGCTGGACATTGTTTTTTTCTGTTGAGTCCTCCACAAGAAAGACAGAGCAACGCACACGAAGGTGCCTGATGTCTCCGGACATTCTTGGCGATGAACATAATATTATTTACATTGCCATCTTTTTTTACATTTTCGTCTCTGCATGGTCAACGATGTTCATTTCTGGATCCACAAAGCAAGTGCTGCTGGTATGTTGGATCATTTGAAATCAGTCTCCGTTCTAAGAAGATCGGCATGAAAAAAATACTTGACTGACAATATTCTGAAATAGCTTTTCTGAACGACGAAGTTCTTTCTTCAAAGGTGATGAATAGCACGATCTACTAGCCAGAACGTTCTATCAAAAGAGATACTATCTGAAGCCACTAAGATGTTCGACCGCCTTTTGTTTTGGAGAGGAGCCCACACACACCTGACTCGAGCTACAAGTTGACTACACGGAGATCGAGAGTTCTTGCTCACTTCTGAACCATGTGAAGGAAAACAGTTTGTTGATCGCATGAATGCCTCCAGTTGAGTCATAATAATTTTATTCTGACGTGGATCCTGTGACCATTCACAGACAAAGTCGCGGCTGTTTATGACTGGTCATCGGGATTCAAACTGGTGTGGCACTTTATGACTGTTCTTCGGGGATTTGTGACTGTTTCATTGGTGACGGGGATGGTGACGTGACTGCTCACTGAGTCCTACATCGATAAACCAAAATTTTTCTTTTATCTTATTACTGTTGTCTGATGATGGCCTGATCAAAAGAGGTAAGTAGCAGCATTCGGCCTTGTCCAGAGTCTTATCAACCACCACCCCACACCGCTGCGCTCTCTGGCCGACCTCAACACGTTGCCACAGCTCACCATCAGCAAAACGACACTTCAGTTAGTACTCTGCTTCTTCAGACAACAGCTGTTCTCACTAACACCCTTTAAATTGTTAGTATCCTCAGTGTAGTCGATCTGTATCGCCTTTGCTTAGCCCTAATCTTCGCGCCTAGGATGCGCCATTATGTTTTCCCCCCTTTTTGCCCCTAAGATGCACCATTATGTTTCCTCCTTTTTTTGCTACAAAAGGATGAAGTTCTCTATCTGTTACCCATCCTACATTGTCAACCTTCACTGACGAGATCCTGATGATCGAAACAGCTGCTGTCTGAAGGAGCAGTGTACCAACTGAAGTGTCATTTTGCTGATGGTGTGCTCTGGCAACGTGTTGAGGTCGGTCGGAGAGCGCAGCGGTGTGGCGTGGTGTTTGATGATCTTCTAGTGTGTAAAACTCAGAGTAACACCTAGTTATTAATCCTCTACGTCTTCATATATAAAATAGCGAGGCAGAAGTGCGCCAAGTGTGCCTCACGTGGCCAGGGCTTCCAAAACATGCGCAAATCAACGCTGCCTCCCCAAATGACTCTAGGAGGACTGTTGCTAGACCCGCATGAGATACTCGTAGCGGCTAGTACACTCGTGCATTTTAGCCAACAATCACAGGGAAGCGTGTCGCAATGCCAGTGGTGAGCCGAAAGATGCCAGCCCTGCGGATTGTAAACAGATGGTGCTTTCTGCTACGTGGGTCTCTTCAAGCCACTGGTGTTGCTTCAGTTCTTGGACTAGGGATTAGTGTTTTAGACACATTTGTAGAAATAGACTGGTCCCCTGCCGTTCTAGCATTGCTCTGCATGACACAGTCTTGATATGTTCAGGTTACTTTGTTGGACGGTAGCAATAATATTACATAAAATAGTTCAGGGTGAGTGTCGCAGGCTTTACCCTATCTGTGGATTGGATTGAGATCGATACCAAAGAGACCATCGAGAGTAACATGATCGCCAGGGTTCTTCACGGCACCAGCGCCCTGCTAATCGCTATCAGTAAGTCATGCATGTAGTTCTGGATGACAGTCTAGTCTTCTCTGGCTGCTAGGAAAGATAATAATTGTGAACGTTTGGATGCAGATTACTCGAACAGTGCATAGTGTGCCTCATTAACACAAGAGAAAGCAAAATAGCCCCAGAAAGATTTCTCTGAGTTCTTGGAGTCGAGCCAGATGATCATCAGTGGAATTGAAAGAGCCAAATGACAAACAAAGGCAAGAAAGAAATTTCGACTGGCCCGCAACAACTAATATTCTGTTTGTCTGTAGTCTAAGACAGTGCTAGGTTCATGTACTTCAAAGTATAAAGATCGTGGTGCTCACTCGCTACTTTTGCATTATTGTAATATGGCTACAGGTCTGTGTGGCTCTGGATCGCTTGGTGCAATATTGCGAAACTGCCAACCAGAAGATGGAAAAATACATGTTTATGGCGATACTGTATACGTCCAGCCAGCGAATGATACTTTTACTACTCGAAATGTCGGGGCTGAGGGAAAACTCTACAAAAAGCCGTTCATCTTCACATCACCATGCGATGTATCCTTCAAGGCTATTTCTCTTCTGTACTTCGGAACATGCTCTGTATCAGTGAGTTATGGAAGTGATAACAGAGTTCTTGAAATACTTCAATTTCCAGATCCACCGACAGACACCTGGCATCGTAGAAACGTGAGCCTGACAAACACTGCTTCCCAATCGCTTCACGGGTTCATGAAAAGAAATAACACCAGAAGGTTCCTGATCACGATTTCCAAAGGGAGATCTAATTGTCAATTAGTCGGAGTCGATCACAATAAAGGAAGAGGACTGGTCATCATTGGACAGGGTAAGCAGTTATATTATGGAATTTCTCAATTTTTATTTTCCTTCGGAACTGCTCAAAATATCCTTGAAAATCTTACGTCTGTTTCCACGATGCACACCGAGTGGGTTGAATGTCCGAACGGAGCCTACCAGACAATTGAGTTGCCCTGTGCCCAATATACATGTTAGTTGAAGAAGTTCATTTTGATCTGATCTTATTCCTTCGTCATGTGATTGATCACCGGGTATATTTTCAACTCTCTCTTTTTCCTCCCCTTGCCTCTCTCTCTCTTCTTGTTTCTCTCTCTTTCTCTTTCTCTATAATAATCTGTGCAGCACATAATTATTTGTCTTGACAATTGTAGCTCATTGTCCTCCGTACTTCTATGGCATATCTGTAGTTTGTCTGCAGTCGCCTTCTAAATTAACCTTCAGTCTTTTCGCAACGCTTGGTGTTCTTCGCAGTTATTCCTACGTCCATTTCAGCAAGACCTGTCACCAATACTGCTATAGCCACAAACCAAGCCTCTACCCATTCCACACAGAAGACGGTTTCCTCTACAGTACCAACTCCGATAATGACCACTCCCTCAGTGGATTCAAGCAGGACCGAGGGCATAGCTCCTTCTACAGCGGAGGCCATCTTACTGGTGGAGTCAACTAGCGGAACGGGCACCTATATTCCTCGGACCAAGCTATCTGCTTCAACAACAAGGAACATTGAACAACTTGACAGTGACTCGGTTGGATTTAATTTAGTTACCAGCATTGTTATTCCCTTGGTTTTACTGGCTGTTCTGCTAGGCGTTTTAATTCTGATGTTATTGGTTAGGTCAGGAATCTTTCTCTCTAGGAGCAGTCATCCGTGGATTATTGCTGTTCGTAGATCAACCGGCCCCAAAAATATGCCAGACCCGATAAATCAGTTTTACCAGAATCGCGATGGTACTAACCGCGTTGACCAGAGTCCTACGGCAGAACTGACAGATCCCGGCCTGTATTCGGCTGTTGGACCTGGGTACCGCAATCCAAACAAACGTCCCCAGACACCTCCTGGCATACCTGCTGCTCGTTATGACATTGTTACAGAGAATGAGTCGTACACGTTCGCGACCTGTAATGGTGCTGCTCCGACGAGTTATGTGAATACGGAAACGAAGCAGAAAGATGCTGGTGAGCCATACGCTAGTGTGCAGTCAATGTTTGACCAACCAACACAGGAAGTCCAGTCAAATCCGGCAAACAACGAAACACAAGCAGCTAGATGTGAAAAATGCTCAGCTCCAACTGTAAGCTACGCAGTTCCTCACAAGCGGAATTCGACAGATGTTTGCAGACACTACGAAAAGGCAGAGGAGTGCACGGCTACTGAACGTGATGAAGCACCCAGCACAGCAAATTCAATCGAACACATATGTCGTGCTACGGATGTAACATCACTTAGCGTCTTATCGAAGTCCGCAAAATCAGCCGTACATAACCAGGATAAGTCTATCAATCCAGATGATGTGGAGCGCAAACAACGCCGTGGTCTGAGTGACGCAACAACAGTAGTATGCCGCGATAACACCACCACCACTACCAGCACCTACCCGCAGTCATCTCGCTTATCCCTTCCAGCCACATACACGTCGACACCGGCCCGGTCAGACAGCCAAAGGTGTGGGTCTCCATCTCCAGTCCCAAAGCCTCTGCCATATCGGGTATTCAAAGTATTGAAGGACAGCCAGGGCGATTACATGAACCCGCAGGACACAGTCTCCAGTCAAGGGGCTGACCAGGCTGATACAGACACCGATCCTAACATCTATGCAGAACCAGCCATCTCCCTGAGCGATGATGGATTGTACAACGCATCCACCATTGGCAAAAGAGATGACGTGGGTGGTATCAGCAGTGTGCCGGTCGATCTTCCTGATCTTTCTGCAATATATGCTGTGCCACAGAAAAACTGTGAAACGTGAAGTATGTTCGTCTAATCGTTTTTATTTCAGTTTCAGATCACATTCGCGTTCGCTTGCTTCTCACCATTTATTCTCATTTCCTGGCCAGGATTGAAATGATTGTCGTCCGTGCCGACGACTTCCAAAATCAATCACTTGCTGCCACGCTTTGTTTTTAATTCGAATTTCGGAATTACATCAAGTGAAATTATTCACAGAATCTGCACGAACATATCCCCTCCAACCCTATAACGTTCTATCGGACTATCCCTATCATCACCGTACCACCCGATTCTATCTATTTCGCATGTAACGCAGGTGATATTTTCTAATCGAATACTAAATAATCGATTAATACATTTTACTATCACAACCCCCCGCTCTGTCTACTCGGACAATACTGCTAGCCTGTCAGTCGTTTTAAACAATTATAATAACTTCTGAATGAAGTTGAAGACTTTGTGTTGCCTTAAATGTTACAATTCATACTTGTATACTTTCAGTGCTGTTGTTGCACCTTCTAGGGTGTGCAGGTGTTATTAACCCTGACTTTGGTTTTCTGTCACCTGTGTTGCAATGTCCTTTAGACTTTTGTTCAGCAACTATTCCTGAAGAGTGTTGCACGACAACTTGTTAGAATCATAAATATTGTCTTCACTACATTTCTTCGATTGTTATATTTCTTTTCAGTTCGATCGTTCGACATTGCACGGATGACGGCCAAGAAAGAGAGAGAGAGAGAGAGAGAGAGAGAGAGAGAGAGAGAGAGAGAGCGAGAGAGAGAGAGGGAGAGAGAGAGAAAGAAAGAAACCGAGGCCGAGCGAGAGAGAGGGAGAAAGAGAGAGAGAGAGAGTGACAGGGAGGGACAGAGAGACATGGAGAGACACAAAGCGACAAAGAGATACAGAGAGAGAGAAAGAGAGGGAGAGAGAGACATGGAGAGACACAAAGCGACAAAGAGATACAGAGAGAGAGAAAGAGAGGGAGAGAGAGAGACAGAGAGAGACAGAGAGAGACAGAGAGAGACAGAGAGACAGAGAGACAGAGAAAGAGAGAGAGAGCGAGAGAGAGAGAGGGAAAGAGAGAGATAGAAAGAGAGAGGGAGAGAGAGATAGGGAGAGAAAGAGAGAGAGAGAGAGCAAGAGTGATAGAGGGAGAAAGAAAAAAATATATTAAGAAAGAGAGAATGTGAGAGCAAGAGAGTTAGAGAAAGACAGAGCGACAGGCCGAGACAGAGGAACAGACAGAGGGACAGACAGAGGGACAGACAGAGACAGTAATTGAGGCAGGGACAGACAGAGGGACAGACAGAGACAGTAATTGAGGCAAGGAAAGACGGAGACAGATACAGAAACAGAAACAGAGAGTACGAGAACTAGAAGGAGAGAGAGATTGACACACAAAGAGAGAGCGATATAAAGCGAGAGAGGGAGACAGAGAGAGATACAGAGAGATACAGAGAGTCAGAGAGAGAGAGAGAGAGAGAGAGAGAGAGAGAGAGAGAGAGAGAGAGAGAGAGAGAGAGAGAGAGAGAGAGAGAGAGAGAGAGAGAGAGAGAGAGAGAGAGAGAGAGAGAGAGAGAGAAGATATATATATATATACACACATACACACAACAACAAGGTTGTCAATTTCATAATACTAAAAGCTTTTCACCCATTTTCATCTGTAGTTACATGGGAATGAGCAATAACGAAAACGAAGCCAGAATTTATACTGGGGGTAGAGAATCAGCAAGAATATTCTTACGCGCCTCAAGTTCACACTACACTACCATAAGAATGTATGGAGCAGTGGAAAAATGCGGGAAACAACACATGAGGGGAATGCAGTACCAGAACAAACACGTGATAAAGTTGTCAGTCCGGTTGCAGCTTGAACAGCCGTAGCACCTTGATGTGCTTCTTTTGTCGACACAGCTCTGGCCTCAAAACTGCTTTTTCGAACTAACAAATGATCAACTGGAGCGCTGCGTACCAAATTTTGTTCGCCTACGTCTCTCTCTCTATATATATATATATATATAATGGAAGCGGTCCTCACCAAGAAAACACAATCCGTTGCTACTCCGAGTTTCTTGAGTTTTTCAATCGTCAGGCAACTTTTCTAACTAAAATTTTTAGTTAGAAAAGTTGCCTGACGATTGAAAAACTCAAGAAACTCGGAGTAGCAACGGATTGTGTTTTCTTGGTGAGGACCGCTTCCATTGTGTACTAGCTCCAGTGCACCCCAGCGCTGTTGAGCCCTCTTTGCGGTGGACGGGACCACTTCCCCCTGTATATATATATATATACACACAACAACAAGGTTGTCAGTTTCATAACACGATTATTTGTGGCGTCAAGGGATGATTGCCCTCGTCTTCTGGGATGCTGGCGTGGCTAAGTAGTGCTGCCCCAAGAACTCTTCTAAGGTGAGGTAATGATGGCTTGATGGAGTTTTGTTCGTAGCTTGTTCTTGCACGCTGTGCCGTGGCTCGTTTGTTGAGCCATAAATCGTGCCAATATTGGGCCAATATTGAGGGGTATACCAATTTCATGGTTCCCTTCAAAAGATTTTGCGCGGGCTTTGGAACGTCGATCTACAACCCAAAGCAAACCTACCTGCAAAATTTGAGCGAAATCTGAGAGATCGACTTGCACATATGTTCTGGTTTTCTCAGACATGCTCTCTTAAGCGAAATGCCCGTAAATGTTCAATTTTGGGGGGCTTACTAATCTTCAATATTTTAGGTAACCAGGAATTTTTTTGTCCATTTCATCCGTTCATGGTACATTAAAGACACTGCATACTTAGTATCTAAAACATTCTGGCCAAATCGAAAATGTGATTAAGATGGCATATCACCCAACAATTTCATATGGCATTCAATTGACCGTAACTTTGGTGTCTCTCAAGGGATATAAGTGAAATTTTCACCACACACTCCCGCCACTATACTGGTCCTCTGTGTATGATTAAAAAGTTCTTGCGCCTCACTGACGGGCTTTCCAGGCCAGAAAAGCTCAAAATTCCGGCAAAGTGCCACGGTGTGCGAACCATCAAGGAGAAAAAAATGCATTTAAATTTGTTTCACATTTTCTTGCCCATTCTGTCCGTGCGCGGGATTCAAACCTTACAAAGGTCCAGAAGCAGCCATGGGTGGTAGGATAGGGCCACTCAACATGGCCCTGGAGTCTGTCACAACAGCAGGAGTGGGTGTTCTCTCACGAACTCCCACAGACCGAAGTCAATTTTTGAATTTTTTTAGGTTTAGCATGTGCTACGAGGAGGCACCGGCGGATTATGCTGGCAGAATTATTGGCAGAATTTGGTGGTTGAAGAATTTGGAGCATAATTTGGCATCCTTTCGAAGGTAGGAGCATCCGCACATGTACATGATTGTACCACAGTTATTTGTATGTAGGCTACACAAATGTGTACAATGCACCTGATCAATGCTAACTTTGAGGCTCCATAAGTACAACAAAGTGAATTTGTATCCCTGCCTGCCAGATTTTGCGAGCACAGTGCGAGATTCCGCGAACTTAATCCACGGAGGCCTAGCTACGAAGTCGTACCTTTGATACAACATCCAGTGCTGGGACCTCCACAGCAAACCATTTCCAAAGCGCTGCACACCAAATCCAGGATACCCTCAAAAATCGGCAAAAACTACCACTCACGTTCCACTACTGCCCAGTACTGAATCCTACCCGACTTCTTGACACGACTAAAACTTGCCAAAGTCACTAAATCAACGTCAACTACAATAATCAAGCCACATATCTGCAATGTCATGTGGGTGCTGGCAAAAGTCCTGCTGCACGATCGACACAACAGTTTCAGAGATTTTGCAACTGTTCATGAACTTTCAACTGATGTAGCACTCGACATGAAGTTACAAATTCTATTTTTTAGGGAATTTTCGGGTGATATGCTAAGTTAAGGTTCCAGCCACCTTGAAAATCAAATTACCAAATCCCTCACCAGGTCTTGGCCAGGTTGTAGGCGTCATAATGCCTCCGAACAGCTATGCGATTGTTCGTTTTGTAGTATTATCCTCAATTAATCAGTACTGTCCAAATCAGGATGTCATTTGCTTCACTGGTCTTGCAGATTTGGACGAATGTATCGACGAAACAAATACTAGTATCTGCCATGAATTGCCAAATCCAGAGAGAAGGAACTGTGTCAACACAGTAGGGTCATATGACTGTCCTTGTTTGGATGGATATGCAGGTAGTACGTGCAGAGGTAAGCCACATGTCCATTATATTCGAGATTTACAGGCTGTGTATTTAACCCTCTAAATCGATTATAAATGAGTCGTCAGATGAGAAAACAGACTTTATCGAAAAAAACTGTACAGTGCAGAAAAGTGCACTTGAAATTTGGCGAGTTTACCCACTGGCGCGTCTGGACAACAAAGCTATAGACCGCAGTATTTCAGTCAATTATAGATTCTTCGGGACGATTCAAATATATAAATCGAAGCAATAACTCCAAGGAATCCAAAACAGCAAGCGCGATCAGGGCATGATGCTGCGTTCAAAAAAACACGAAGCCTGTAAGGTACGTCAATGCACTTTGCATTTCTACACACGAGTCAAACGCTCCAGACCTTGGGTTTCCCCCTTTTCAGCACGGCAACACGCTCAGATGTCTTGGAGGTTTTCAGTGCATCTTCGAGTAAAAACAATGGTCGTCCTGGCATTTTTGTGCGACGGCGCAAGTCCAGCACTGATGCGATGTCTGCAGTTTATTCCCCTGGCGCTGTGCTTTCTTTGCTATCGGATTTGGGCTGACCGGGTTGCTCCTCGCCAGAGCTTTCCATAAAGAGTTCGTGGACAAGCCATTGATTATTCACTCTCACTGTAATATCAAAAAAGTATTCTTTCTAGATCAAATAGTGGTATATTTGATAAAATTTTATAACGATAGAAATATTTACGATACTTCTCCAGACGTCAACGTCGTCAGTGGATAAAGAATGGAGGGCTTTGGGTGGTGGCACGGGTTAATAGGAAGTGATGGTGGTGAGATGAGGTGAGATGAGGTGAAGGTGGGAAATAGATGTATCTAA